GCGCCCGGGGGAGCCCGTGGGCACTGACCGCCAGGCCCCTCTCTGGGTCCCCCCGCTGACCCGTGCGCAAAGGGGTCAGAATTGCAGTCACCTGAGCCCTGCCCGGGCCTGGTGTTCGGGGGACATTGGCCTCAGTTGCCTCGCACCGGCCTAAGAGGTCGCTGCACCCAGACCTTTCTGCTTTCCCAAAGTCTGCAGTGGATTCAAGGGACCAGCCCGAGGGGGATTCCTGGTGCCCCGTAGCTGGGGCCTTAGGTGCCAACCCCTGGCCCAAAGAAAGCTTCCTCGGACGGCTCCGAAATCGTATCCTTAGTGACTCCTGTGAGGCCCCAGAGTAACCCCTAATGACAGCACCCTGCTCACTGCCTCAGCAGGGAACGGCGGCTGGCGTGGCCAGTCAGAGCACCAGGAACGCTTGGGTGGCGGGGCTGGTAGCCCGGGTCGACTCTCCCAGCGCTGCCTCGTCTCGGCACGGTCCCCCCTCCTGACTAGCTGCCTGGCCTCTCAGGGCCTCGCTGCCGCCTTCGGTTGTCAGCGGCCGGTGGCTGGACCCACAAGCTGGCCGCCTGCAGGGCTGTCGGTCTGGGGTTATGACAGGGGCAGGTCCAATCCTGGGCTGACGGGCTTGGGTGCTGTGGGCGTGGCCGTGCCGGCGGGCGGGTGGCGGTCGCAGCATGGGCGTGTTGGCGCCGTACAGCTGAGCTGGGGGGGCGAGGGTCAGCCCCAGCCAGCACTGAGGGCCCGTGGAGGCCCTGCGCCCTGGTAGCTTGCACGTTGGCTCCAACCTGGCGCCAGGCCTGGCTCTGTCCTGCTCTGGGAGCTGCAGGCGGGGCGGGGGCTGCCTCGGGCTGGCCCTGCAGCGCTGTCTCTCTCTCGCTTTGCCTGCAGACTGCACAGCGCAAGATCACGGAAATCGTACAGCAGGTGAAGCGGCAGGAGCAGAAACACGCTCAGGGAGCCCCCTCCCTCCCGCGCAGCAAGTGAGGCGCCCGCGCCAGCCCGCAGCCACCGACGAATGTAGCCCTTCCAACGCCTGCCAGGCCGCCAGCGTGGGGCGCCAACCAAAGACCTTCCTGAGGCAGAACGCTCTGCCCGGGGCTGGGCAGGGGAGGGCTCCCCCCCACTCACGCTGCCGTCGCCCCGCCGCAGGGGCCCTGCCGACTGACTCTTCCCAGCCACAACCTCCACGTTCCCCTCTCTACTAGCGCGATGTGATCCCTTTAGTTGGACTAACATAGGCGGAGACGGGGCAGGCAGCCCCCCGGCAGCGCCCGCTCCCCGTGCCTGGGGCCACGCGGTAGCTGGGGGGAGTTTTTTGTTTTACAGTGCATGACGTGGCATTCGCACCGTTGACGATACTTTAGACCGAATAGCGCTGTAACCAAACTAACCCACTTTTCATTTTGTAAAAGGTTAAGTTGTTTTTTTTTTTTATTTACTTGTTTTTTGGAGCTTGTGGTTCTCCGACAAAGCAGGCCGCCGTAGCCCGCTCAGGGCAGAACCCTGGGGAGACCTAACCTACAGTAGACCGAAGGGACTGTCAGCAGCACGATCGAAAGGGTAAAAGTGGCGGGTTCTGTAAAGGCTTTAGGAAGAGCAGCGTTGGGATTGTCTCGTCTCTGCGAAGAGGAATCTTTCTCTCGAGCTCTGTCTAGCTCGCCTCCCCCTGTCTCTGCCCTTCACAGATGCCACACTGGTTTTTGCATCCTCTCCCGGTCCCTCCCTCGCACGCGCTCTCTGTCTGTCTCCACCGTCCCATCCGCTGTGCTCTATATAACACACCACCGACCGCAAACGCAAGGACCACCCAGCCACAACTTCCACCTGGGTTCTCGCCCAACCCAGCCACCACGGTACCTGTCTGAGCATTTTGCAAAGAAAGAAAGAAGCAGGAGAAGCCTTGGTGCCCCCAGCCATGCAGCTGGGTCAGCCCCTGGGGGCAAGAGGAAACTG